ACGTTTTTCCGAAAAATATTGGCACGATCAGTGAAGAGATCACCAGTGCTGTCGTCTGCATAGCAATTAATGTTACCAGTTTGCAATATATCATTGATATGCAGGAGAAACAGCGTTGGTGATATCACGCAGCCTTGTGGAAGACCAGCGTTGATATGCTTGAAATCAGAGCATGCACCGTCTACTACGACCTTGATGCTCCGATCAGCAAGGAAACTGGTGATCCATTTGCACAATTTCTCGGGAAGCCCATAGCTAAAAGTATAACGATTTTATGTAGCGAAATTATTGAGGTATGGCCATATATCTAGAGAGAATCTTGTTCGAGATCAAAATATTCACAAAATTTTTGCTCAAGCAATTTATATATTCATTTTAGTTCTCACATTGATGGGAACTTAAATAAGCACAATCATTTGTCAACAAGTTGAGTGTTGGAAAAGCATTTCCCAATAAATATTTTACAGGTCGTTCTTTTAGAAAACTTAATACTGGATTTTTCGAAGTGATCCTCACAGAGTCTATATTGTTGCCTTTTTTATATTAAAAAGTTTTGAAACCAGATCTTCTCGTCCAACAGCTTTTAACCACTCTTGCCGTCTGAAATAATAATAGAACATACACACATACATAGAATAATAATAATATACATACGTATTTAATTTAAAAACGTAATTATTCAATTATAAACGTTATCATAATAACTATTCGATCATTTATAGGTAGGTAGGTTACTTATAGGTGGGTTATATCTCTATCACGTTAAAATAAATTATAGCCTAGTTACTACTTACCTATTAGAAAAGTCTTTGGGATAATTAAAAAAATATATTTTTATTTGTTCTATTATTGTTCATACAAAAAGTACAGTAAACCATAATTTTTATATTTATGTGACAGGAATAATTCTTTAAAACATAAAATTTTACACTTATTACTCTTTATACAACCCTGAGTTTGAGCACTGGTCGAGCCGGTTTAAAGCAGTTTCTCTCAGTACGTGACGAGCCGCCAGTGCACACGCATACACGCGCCTCAAGCTTGTAGTAGTGTTATTATCATAGCGTGGTTTTATGATGTCATAGCCTCTGTACGGTACGGTTTCTTTACTCATGTACTGTAGGCCCGTTATTGTCTCGTACTTCTTCGCAAGCACGTTTGACCTTCAAGATAATATTTCTGCCAGCACTTTAAATCACTTTCGGCATAATGATAACGATTATTTACTGCAAATACGAATAAAAACACGACACCTAACACTCTGTTTTGCACTTCTTATTAGTTCTAGCACTTCTTATTGGTTTGTGGTCTATATGCCAGTATAGCCTAAGTTTATGGTATATACCATTTGTTTTTAATTTGTTTCTGTTTTCTGCCATATGTAACATATGCATGAAGTTATAGATAAAGATGGAGGCCACACTTGGAACAACAGCTTGAGTCAAATACCTACGTATCTTTATCTCACTCTCTGTGGTCTGACTTCTCTTTTTAGTGTGGAACACAATATTGCTATGTTTTTATTTGAATCTCCCGGTAAATTCTTAGAAATAATTTCCACACTAACTAAATCAGAAGTTAAGCTTTGTAAAATAATGTACCAACAAATAAATAGTTGATCTACGATTAGTTACATTAAAAATTCCAAAATTGAAGGTCTCGTATGCATTATTAGGTTCACGAATCAGTGAATTACAATCCCATTTCCTAAGGATTCGGTAATATGGCAACATTAGCCCTATATGTCAACATAAATTAGACAAATATGGCGGTTGTTTACTTAGCAGTTCACAGCGTCGTTTGAGATATTTAAAGTTAATTATTGTTGTAATTCAAGAAATGGTGCAAACTTGTGTAGTACGTGGTTGCGACAGTAGTTGGTGTCCAGGAGGTGATATAAGATTTCACACGTAAGTGTTTAAATAGTGACTTCTGACATTGAATACTTGTAAACATACTTTTTGTATTTTCACTTAATTTTTTGCTGAAACGTTTTATCAGTGTTTTAAACATATTAGTAAATTATAACTTTGTCAAAATCAAATAGTTTTACATTGAATTTAATTAAGTTTGAACAATTTTATTGTTTTTGTTTAAAAGAAATCGCACTGAAGTAGTGTGACCATATTGATGATGTATCTGAGACTTTCCGTGTGACCTTAACTAATTATATGTACATGTTTCTTATTATGTTACCGGAAATGCATGAAATTTAGAAATTATGTACACTTCCTATATATTCTATATAATGACGTATTTCATAGATTTCATAATATTAAATTAAAAATGAGTAACATAATATATTCTTTTGGTAGACAATTTATTTTTATTTAGTTTTTGTTTCTCATTATTCTGATACTTTAATAACGTTTATAATAATTATGTATTTAGAAATGTAGTAGTTTAGATGTATGATATAAAGCAACATTTTTTAAAATATGTTATTATTTGCAGACAATAAGTGCATTACATGAAGAGTCTATTGTGCAAATAGCTGCTCTGGCTGTACCAAGCACTAGTTCTGGCATTTATGAAAGTAGTTCTGCACTTAAGGAAACAGAAGTGAAAAGTACTGGCTGTAATATTGAAGACCAAACTAGTAAAAAACAATGTCGAAAAATTCTTGAAAATTTGTGCAATCTTAACAAATTACCTGTAAGTGTCCTTTTCCTTTATTACTAAATACATACCTTTTATTTGTATTTATTATGACTTTAATATTACATTACATAATGTATTATATAGCTTAAAACACATACATATTTAAACTCTTAAGTGCCAATCGCAGTGTGGTAATAGTTACTACGACACTAAGTATAAAGCTTCTTGTTTGATGCTTCATTTATGCGTGCACATGAAGGCGCGCTCCGGTGTTTTATATGTTACCTATTAAGTGATGTAAATTTGTACTAACATTATGATGTAGAAGAGTTATTTGTTTCTTTTTTTTGTTAGAGTTCTCTAATCTCTGGTTTGATTTGAAAATATTTTTTTGCATTTTTAAAACCAATTCTTCAGGAAGTCTATCTAACATCACGCTACGACCCTTATGAGTGGAGCAATACGATGTACGATGCTAAAAATACTGATTTCATAAAGTTTTCTTGTTTTCTTAAGTCAGCAGTGAATACGACGATCCCGCGAAGATTGATAGGGGCGTGCAAGTGAAAATAAAGTGTACTAAAGAAGAAATACTTGAGACGAAAACTAAGATTCTTAAGCAAAAAGTGGCGCGCCAAACTAAAAAATTCAGGATAGGTCTTCTTTAATGGACACTATTAAAAAGTATATGGGTCAGTCAGAAATTGAAAATATTATTCAAGGGCGCTTTGCTCATATCTGTAAGGACTTCAAAAATCCACATGGTGTGAAAAATTCAATAAATAATTTTAATATGGAAAGTGTTTTTATTTATTTTTTTAAGGTTTTTAACAAACCATGTAGTGGTGGTGTGAGAATATCCACTACCCCATATCGTTCCGAGGGTGTTGTAAGAGGTGTCAGAGGGAAAATGAAACAGGAGATGGGCAGTGGCATCTTCCTGATAACAACTCAAAATAATAATATATTATCGTTCCTATTATAGTACATATGTTACTAGAAATCTATGAAATCCGTTATTATATAGAATTCCTAGGAATTGTAGATAATTCTTAAAATGAACTGGATGTGTGGAATATAGTATTATACACATTTCAGCTCAGAGCAGCCTGACTCGGATGGGTTAGGTCAGAAGGCTAAGGCAGGAGCTCCGCTACGCTGGTTTAGTCTTCGTGATATTTTTTTTTTAAATAATTGTCCAGAAATAGATTTAGTCTGTCTGAACAATAAATCAGGTATATTTTGCCCAATTCATTGATCACCCGGGGTTATAATAAATTTTAATTTTATATTTCGTTGGTACCGTTTAGGAATTGTATACAATAACCAGAAAATACATTATCGAAATGGTAGTTATAAAATATTCTCTGATATATTTATTTTCCACATTTTCTAAATAGGCTCGGCATTATATGGGTTGTGACGGAAATGCGTGGTCATATTTTAATACCGGTTCCGCCCATGGAAATGAAAACCTTTCTTCATAAAACTAGTCAATTCCCAAAAAAAATTGTACAAAAATATATAATCTATGTAGGCTAGGACTTAGTAGTAAACAGAGATATAGATATTTATAAATAAAACACTTAATGTAACTCAACTACTTATAGCGATATCCTGGGAAAAATAAAATAAAGGTTACCTACTTAGAAAGGGAAAGCCTGCCCACAGAGAGCGAGATAGTAATACATAGGTTTAGCTTCAAGTAGGTATTCGGAGTGTGGTCTCCATCTTTATCTATAATATGGAGTGTAGAGTAGAAAGAGAACCATCTTATAAGGTGCGAAAGTTGAAAAAGTGTCCCACTATATACTGAAAATAGAGGTTCCAAAACCTACCACAATAGCGCTGACGTCTGAAAAACTACGATATGAATATAGCTGTTGTAAACGGAATGAAGTCAGCTGAATTTAAATATTTAAAAAATTTCATGACTAGAGTAGTTAGTAAAATGCCAGTATACAAAACCTCAACTATTTACGTAGTACAAAACCAAGGGGATTGGTCTGTCCTTGTTTATTTCTCCATCTTATTCTAATTAATTTTGGCGCTTTTTTTTTAAATTTATCCTATGCTACTGCAGCGCCACCCTTATTGGACGCGTTTTTAGGGACACTTTGCATATACAGAGATGGTCCTCCTTCTACTCTACACTCCATAATCTATAACTTCATGAACATATGTTGCCGCAATCAAATGTCATTATGTCAAATTGTCATTGTCAAATGTCATTTGTCAAAATTACGTATGCAAATGTCACCTCCCGTACACCGCATTCCGTAAACTTTGAAGATTTACTGAATACTGAACCGATGTGAAGTAGTAAGCGAGACAAGAAATTTGTTCGCTGTGTATTACAAGTTTTTCTATTTATATCAGCAAAAATTTAATAAACATTTATGCAGTCTGACGGGGAGGAAACCTCACTGCATTCATGCTTCGGCTCACTAAAGAGTGCCGTCATGGGTTGCTGTTACAGTATTTGTCAGAAGGAAACAGATCCGGAGGTATTTCTATTGTTTCTCTATTTTATGCGTTTTAACATAATTTTTTTATTGAACCTGTTACACTGAAAATGCTTTATTTATTTGCACAAAATAACAATTACAAATGCATTACAGGCATTTTGATTCACATCCGTGTATCCGTCAAACTGAAATGTTTAGGTGTTTTGTTATCAGTAATTCCTAGTTGACTGGCACTTTATCGAATTTATTGTGTTTTAATGAACCTGGATATGACTATGATCCGAACTTAAACTAGGTTACAGTTACTGTATCACAATATATGCAATATAGATTTAAAATTAGACCTCGAGTTTAATTATACTCTTGTACAACAGGTAGGTCTTAATAGTTGTTACACAGTTGTCGCTCACAGTCTTTGTCTATTCTTTGTTATAATATGTGTGAGACACATCTCTATTTTAAATTCGAATTAAATGATAATTTTATGAATTCTTCATAGGAAATTAACAATTTGTTGACTGTATACTATTGATGTTCTATTTATTTGATAAGGTGAAATATTCAGCTTTGTTTTTATTCATTGAGGTTAATATAGAATGGTGCCGTACATGGTGGATACATTATAAAGTAATTTAGTAGTATACTTAACCTTAAAATTTTAAACACTGAGACATACCCACATGCATGAGGCAAGCACCGTGATTACTAACCCTTCTTCCAGGTGATTACCGTAAATTCTTCCTAAAACCCATTACTAGCAGTAAACTGTTGACAAAGAACTTTGATATATTTAAAAAACTGTTCTGGTATTCAATTACTGATGACAATTTAGTTCTAAGCCAAATTGTATGTGTCATATATTAATATGCAAATTCTCAATGTATAGTAAGTACATTATGATGTTAAACATGCAATATTTACTTGCCTGTTTAAAATTCACCTTGGTACCATTGGCAAAAGCAAAAGATTGCTAATACACAGGTCATTATTTTTAAAAATATTAAAATTAGTATGCTAGGAATACTATGATTTAAATATAATAAATCATCTAATAAATCTATAATATAAAAATGAATAGCTGAATGTGTTGCTAAGTGCAAATCTCGAGAGCAGAAATGTAAATCCAAGATGGCGGCCGCAATAGGTATCAATTTTTTCATCATGGGTGTCATTTTCATGGTTTTCGAGGGTGCTGATGCCGATAGTGCTGTCGAAATGTAAATCCAAGATGGTGGCTGAATTAGGTACCAATTTTTTCATAATGGGTGTCATTTTCATGGTTTTCGGAGGTGTTGAAGCACCAGACATTGTTTGATTTTTGCATAGAATATTAAAATTCAAGAAAAATTATTGTTAACACTATTGTGTGTAGTTTTAGTTATAAGTTTTGTCACGTAAAACTGAGTAGTACAGCAAAAATAACTAGTAGCGTGGTACCGAATAACAATCCAGGATTTCTAAACTTAGCGATTAATATTAATTTTTTCACATGTATTTTTGGCAAAACTTAAGATTAGAGATAGCTCAATTTGTGAGTGCGGATTAGATGAATTTAACTGCCTTAAAAATTGTATAATGAAACAGCTAACCTCTAGCTGTTTCATTATACAATTTTCTTCTCAACAACATCCCTCGTCCTATAAATCTTAAATCTTTGTTAAATTTCGTTTACACTCCTTTTGTACAAACTTTATTAGACTTCATATCCATTAATAACATTAAACTATAGTACTTTTGTCACTTACCTACATCCATTTTATTATATTAGCTACAATTTTGTAAACCTATGTTAATTCATTCGAAAATAACTACCTATGTAACTACGTAACATAAAGTTATGTAAGCATATCTTTGGAAACGGATACTTTTCGAATACTCTGTGTGATTTTCATGAAATACTTGACGCTGGCAGAATTTATTGAAGGTTTCCAAATTAGGAAAAAAAACTCCTATCTGACAAAAAACCTTAAAATGTAGAAATTGATGGACTTTGGTTTATCATCATTGTTCATCATCAATACTGTTCTTTGCAAATCCACTACTGAACATGGGCCTTCCTCAACTAACGCCACAAAGCATGGTCCTGTGCCATTTAAACCTATTCACTTCCTGCATCTCTTACCAGGTCGTCACTCCATCTAATGGTGGGCTGTCCAACACTGCTTATCGGTACGAGGTGGTAACTCGAGAACTCAGTTGTCAGTTCTTTGATCTATATGGCCGGCCTATTGACAGTGGTTGGCTTACCTTATTACTCGTACATTGATCAATTTCATTTGTAAAATTATATATATTTTATTTGTACTTGTAAAAAGTATGATTCTTTCTTACATTAAATAATATTTTTTGCAAAATAGTTTCAAAATAAATTAACAATTAAATGTTTGGAAATACATGCTTTAGGATGGTCAAAATTCAAAAATACAACATAAATATCTCAGCAATGTTATCAGTACTAAACAGGCATTGTTTGAAGTGCACGGAGCAGAGCGGTGAGAGGGAACAGTAAACTTAAAACAGATGGCTAGTAATATAGTCACTATGAGTCATTTATTCATTAATTATAACCTTTAAAAAGTACACATAGATTAACTAAACTAAGTTCAGTATTTTCTAAGACTTAAAACACAGTAAATAAAGTCAAATACCTTGTTTAAAATTAATAAAATTTAAGATCAAAATACAGTGTCGGTGCCACTACCTAATCATAATACTAGATGAATTCTTGAAAACTAAGTTTCGAGAATTAATAAATAGCTAGTTCTCAAATGGCAGCTTCATATCAGAGGGCACCCTTTACTAGACATGGAAAAAGTAGATGGTGTTTACGTTTATATCAAATTTGTAATGTGTCAATGAAATTCCAATTTCAATATAAATATATGTTTTATATAAAAGTAACTAGATGGCGATACCTACATTTTGAAACGTGATATCATATTATTGTTTCTGACTTGATCGATGTCTGCGACCATTTCTGAAATATATTGAGTTATACTTAAGATTTTTGTTTTAGGATAGGGTAACAAACGAGCACACAGTCTACCTGATGGTAAGTGGTTGCTGTGATCCTGACCCATAGACATCTATATTTATCCTCAATGAAGAATCAAAATGCAGATGCGTCATCACCCGTGAGGACTAAGATGGAATGCGTCTTTTCCAGTAAAATGGGTCTCCGGTTCTCTACACTCACCATACGAAACACAGCAGTGTCAAGCTGCCATTTTACGTTGGTATTCTGTGAGAGTGTGGTCCTTCCCCGGTCGAGCCGATCTATTCGTGCTACAACTATACTACTAAAATAGCTCCAGCATGGCTCTACCACGTATAAAGTACATGTGTTTATTTGTTTAATAGCTTTCCTACCAACTGTACACGCCCCTAGCTGCCCCAACAAAGGTAGACTGGACTAGGGCCCATCAGTAGTCCAATCGACGGGCAGCAGAGGACGGGGCCCAACGGCCTATGGAGACTTATCATTCTACACAATAGATATAAGGCTAGGTAAATAAATAGTACGTCCCTGGTTCCGAAGCTAAAACTGCCCCAAGGCTCGGTCAGGCGGTAGGTGTAGGTGCATGTAAGTGGTGTGTAGTAGTGTTTATATATGTGACCTGAACTAACTGAGGTGATCGGGCAACGGCCTGGTCCGATGCTGCCCCACAATGTTGTATCACTCCAGCGGACGTCACCAATTTACAACTTCTTTCTTCATTTCACTAAATCAGTCTATCAACTTTATTGTACACTATTTCAATCCATCAACTTTATTGTACGTTTAATTAACTTCAAACTCAAATAAATTCAACGTTCATCGAAATCAAACACGTGACACCCGACACAAGTAACGAACAGTCGTTTAAAGTTCAATATTCAATGTTCCGGATTCATTTAGCACCAAATTACAAACAGGGAACGAACGCGATCTCTTCTCGAGTCGCAAAGTTCAGCGTGACAAACAACAAACTAAATTCCTTAGTACGATATTAAATACTACGACCGCATTAAGACTCAAAATCAGCCTAGCTGACACGCAAACTAACTACATAGTCAACACACAAAAGGCACTTAACGCGACGGTACAATTAAACATTAACTTCCAAAAACAATTAACCGGGCCACGGCCTCGAAATGGAATGCGAGCATCAAATTCCAGACCGTATGTCTACTCGGCGTGCGCGCAAGGTACCACGTCACATAAGCAAGTTAAATATTGCAAAATGCACTTCCACATGCAATCACTTTACAATTGACGTAATTACTTTCAAACGAAATTACTTTAATCAGTCAAATTCTATACAAGCCTCTTGTCACGAACGTACAACTTAGACAAACTAATTCGAGGCGGTATACACGAAACCCCAAATTCAATAGCAAATTAAACGCGCACAAATACTCAAATTCTAGACCCCAAAACCAGAAACGGGTCGCGCGAAACCGATGTAGCGGTCACAAAAATTCGCTAATCGACAGCGCCGCTGGTGTCAAGCTACTGACTTCGCACTCGCGTCCTGCTCCCGCGCCCTCTGCCGAGTGACTCACACGGGAGTGGGGCGACGGTGACCTTTACAAAGTCAGCGGACGGACACGAGTGTTGAATACAAATTTCAAATGTTAATTGTTTGGCCTAAACACCAACTGAGGTTACGTACTAATACAGTAAGCGATTATACAGATGGATGCAGGTAGCTTAGGACATGTTTTATGGTTGGGGGAGGCCTATGTTCAGAAGTGGACTGAAGACTATAGCTGTAAAGGACATGATAAGAATTCAAATGGTGGATACAATTTACAACTATACATGTGGAAATCAGTGCTGATGAAGCTTAAGTAGTAGGGAAATACTGATACCATTTGTATAATTTACGTTTATTTACGTGGTAGAGCAACGCTGCAGCTATATTATGGTTGTAGCACGAATGGGTCTGCTCGACCGGGGTAGGATCACGCTGTCATAGAATAACAGCGTTAAAATTGAAGCTTAATGCTGCTGTGTTTCGTATGGTGAGTGTAGAAAAACGCAGACCCGGGTGACAGACAACGCATCTGCATTTTGATTCTTAATCGAGAATAAATGTAGATGTCTATGGGCCACAGCATCCACTTACCATCGGGGTGAACTGTGTGCTCGTTTGTCACCCTTATTCTATAAAAAAAGTTTATAAACACCGACAAAAATTCCGCACCTCTTTTATTTTCGTTAAGGAGTACCCGAGGGACAAATCTGGAGACTAAATAGCTGGAAATATATTAGGGGTACACATATGTGAGCTTACCGCAAAACATTGATGACGAGAATATGTACAAGTGTCATGACATTTCAGGAGAATGTTGTGAACGAGAGGACGCATCTCCTCGAAGTGGCGGAACAGCAGCAGGAGACCCCGTCACCGACGGCGTGCGCCGCGACGCCGCCGCGGAAGCCCGATGAGCAGAGCGCCCTCAATCGAATATTACATGAAACCGCTACGTAAGAATTTTAGCTTCCTATTTTTTGAACATAGATAATGGTCCCGTGTTCGTCTGAGACTCATAGGTACCACGTTTATATCGGAATTATACCAATATGAATATTACGTTTGTGATTGTGTGTGAGCCCCTTATCACTTTTTTCATAAATTTCCATCTAAACCCAAATTTTGGGCTAATCAAGGTCTGAGTAGCTTACTGATTTTTCTTTATATTTATTGGCGTGACGTTATGTATTTATATTGACAATGGTTCCCATATATTATAATCTCCTCCAGACCGAATTTCGGTCACGGCGGCCAGCCTCAACGGAGACTAGGCATCGGTGCAGGACAGGATTATAGTGCCCAAGTGTATACGCAAGCATAGCTGCACTCTCTATTCCCTCACTCTCATAGTCCGATGGGACGGTAAACCGACACGACCGGAGAGAGATCAGGCGCAGGACCAACGGCTTTACGTGCTTTCCGAGGCACGGGGGTGTTTTTATTAGATATTAGATCAAATACAAATTACAATACAAACAAAGATACTGAGGCAGTGAGGGTGTACAAACCGAGCGTCGATTGTTTAACGGTGCGCGCTTTATTGGTTCCGGGTTCACAACACGGTTGGCCTCCGCTTGGTTGTTGGGAAGACTAGGGCTCCACGGGAGCGTTGAATTGCGCTGTTAGGGATTGTTAGATTTGGTTTTGGTCGAGCACTTAATTGACGATGCTTTAAATTAAAAATAAAAATAGTTTTGTGCCTTCCGCGAAATGTTTCATATTTGTGGCGGTTGTGATTAAGAAGGCGAATTTAATGTGCTCTTTGAATACTGTACATATGTTTCTGTAATTGTATTTGATCACTGTATTTGTTTTGCTGAAAGGAAAATTTGAATTCACTTGAAATTGAATGACGCGCTATTTGAATACTTGTACGTATGTTTTTGTAAACGTATTTGATCATTGTGTTTTGTTGAAAAGAGGATAACCCTATTTGTGCCGAACGGAATAAGAGTCATTCCTCTTTTGGTTTTACATTTTGTTGGCACTGTCTAAGATATTTATTTGAAATGAGAAATAGGGCTGTCTCTTACGTTAATCGTTTTGTTTATTTTGTCAGTTTGACCTATGTGCATCGGTGATTAATTTGTTTGAATTAATTCTGTAGTTGAACATTGATGCATTTGAAAATTGGTTGAAATATGAGCATAGGACTACTTGTCTAAAGGGCTAGCTAGTTTGGAGATTATCAGATTGAAATCAGCAGCCGCACTATTTGAGTAAATGGTTATATGGTCAATGGCTTGGTTATGCCTACTTGTTTGAAAATTCATACTAGGGACTATCTGTGCGTTTCGTTTGGCTCTCCACAGACGACGTTCATGTGGAATTTGTGGGTGCTCTCTGCACTGAAGCTTAGGAGGCCACGCAGGGCCGCTTCGTGTCGCGTCGCTGTTTGCAGACTTGATCCGGTCGGATTGCGGAACGAATCATAGGGGCACAGATAGGTGTTTGAAAGAGGTCGTCGGACTTCTGTCCAGTACAGGACTTGTTAAGGTTCTGCGATGCCCAGGAGGGGCATCCAGTGGAGGTTGACCCTCAGGCTTGCCCACATTGGGGCTGTCTTTTGAGGCGGTGGCTGGGTTTGCAAGATCTGATGGGGTGCCTAAGGTGGCCTAGTTTGGTTGTAGATTCGGTCTTGCAACGTGCCGTCGCGACCCTGTCCCGCTTGTCGGTTTGCTCGCGGACGTAAGTCCTTATGTCCGGGACGGGGGTTTGTTTATGTCCAAAATTGGTCATTTTGAACGCCATCCAATAGCGTTCGAGCAGGCGCGTCACCCGATGGTATGTAGGTGAGGAAAACGCCGCCAGGTGGGGCGGCCGTGTGCGGCTTGCAGTGGCTCGACGCGTGGCAAGAAGATGAGTAGCTCGCTGGCCGCGATGCGGTGAATCCGCGTATCTCAATTATCGCGGCCGAAGTTTACGCGACCGTGTAGAGTCCAGATAGTTAGATTTAGTGCGTGTTACTTCGCTACGTGGATATGTGCTTTGCAATATTTAACTTGTTCGGGTGATGCGGAATTGCTGCAGCTCCCCATTAACAGACATTATTTATATACGAGGCTACCAAATGAAAGAAAATTTCGCCATTTTGGTGCCGAAAAAAATTAATTATAGCTAAACAAAACAAAATTACACTGCCATTTACATTCAGTGGCTTCCCACATGATAGATGAAGAGATTAAAAAATAGATTGAGTTAAACAATTGATATTTTCAAAAGTTATCGTGTTTACAAGCCACAGGGACATGATAAATCCACACCATAAGCCACTAAAACCCGTTTTTTATTTAAAAATAGCAATTAATCGATTTAAAAAATTATTAATAAGTTCAACAATCATTTATCTTTCTAAAGACCTGTCGATTGATATGCTACATGCCCTGTGTCAGTCTATTGAGAATTTGAAATTGTAGCGGTTTCTAATGGTTGCCGTTGAACAATCAGTTTCAAAATAGGAGGTTCAGATGCCCGGGTGATCAGTAATCGATTGCTGAAAACAGAATTTGAAAATTCGAAACCGTTTTCGAGATAATCGTGGGACAGACGGACAGACGGACAGATGGAGCTAAGCTACTATTTAACGCCAGTATTATGTGAGAGCGTGGTCCTTCCCCGGTCGAGCCGACCCATTCGTGCTACAACTATACTACTAATATAGCACTAGCATGGCTCTACCACGTAAAGCATCAAAATGCAGATGCGTTGTCACCCCTGAGGACTGAGATGAAATGTGCCGTTATCAGTAAAAAGGTTCTCCGGTTCTCTTCACTTATTTTACGAAACACAGCAACATTATATAGTTGTTTCACGCTAGTACCTCTATGAGAGCGTGGTCTTGCCTCTGTCGATCAAAATAAAGGACCAAATAGAGAAAAGGCTACTGATGCGTTGCCAGCACTGAGGACTAAGATGCAATGCCTCACAATCTGTAATCATACTAGTCTCATAACCTCTTGGCAGAAATAGATATGAGGTTACAAGGACAAACATTCAGACCCGGAATAATCAATTCTAGGCCATATAAGTGAATAATACTAGTTCCGTGGGCAATTCGAACCCGCGTCAAGTTCAGCCTTTTCGCAGTAACGTGATAGACGTGGGCGCGCTGGGCCCGTACGCGCTGGAGGCGAGCGCGTACAACGAGCGAGTGCGCGTGTACACGACACGAGCTGCCGCCGCGCAGCCGCCGCCGCCCGCCGCGCCGCGCCTGCTGGCCGACCTGCCGCCCGCCGCACGCGCCGCCGCGCTCGCCGCCCCGCCGCCCGCCAGCCAGGACCGCGACCTGGTGAGTGACGCTCATTGTACACGCCGCGCGCCTGCTGGCCGACCTGCCGCCCGCCGCACGCGCCGCCGCGCTCGCCGCCCCGCCGCCCGCCAGCCAGGACCGCGACCTGGTGAGTGACGCTCATTGTACACGCCGCGCGCCTGCTGGCCGACCTGCCGCCCGCCGCCCGCCAGCCAGGACCGCGACCTGGTGAGTGACGCTCATTGTACACGCCGCGCGCCTGCTGGCCGACCTGCCGCCCGCCGCACGCGCCGCCGCGCTCGCCGCCCCGCCGCCCGCCAGCCAGGACCGCGACCTGGTGAGTGACGCTCATTGTACACGCCGCGCGCCTGCTGGCCGACCTGCCGCCCGCTGCCCGCCGCCCGCCAGCCAGGACCGCGACCTGGTGAGTGACGCTCATTGTACACGCCGCGCGCCTGCTGGCCGACCTGCCGCCCGCCGCCCGCCGCCCGCCAGCCAGGACCGCGACCTGGTGAGTGACGCTCATTGTACACGCCGCGCGCCTGCTGGCCGACCTGCCGCCCGCCGCCCGCCAGCCAGGACCGCGACCTGGTGAGTGACGCTCATTGTACACGCCGCGCGCCTGCTGGCCGACCTGCCGCCCGCCGCCCGCCAGCCAGGACCGCGACCTGGTGAGTGACGCTCATTGTACACGCCGCGCGCCTGCTGGCCGACCTGCCGCCCGCCGCCCGCCAGCCAGGACCGCGACCTGGTGAGTGACGCTCATTGTACACGCCGCGCGCCTGCTGGCCGACCTGCCGCCCGCCGCACGCGCCGCCGCGCTCGCCGCCCCGCCGCCCGCCAGCCAGGACCGCGACCTGGTGAGTGACGCTCATTGTACACGCCGCGCGCCTGCTGGCCGACCTGCCGCCCGCCGCCCGCCGCCCGCCAGCCAGGACCGCGACCTGGTGAGTGACGCTCATTGTACACGCCGCGCGCCTGCTGGCCGACCTGCCGCCCGCCGCCCGCCGCCCGCCAGCCAGGACCGCGACCTGGTGAGTGACGCTCATTGTACACGCCGCGCGCCTGCTGGCCGACCTGCCGCCCGCCGCCCGCCAGCCAGGACCGCGACCTGGTGAGTGACGCTCATTGTACACGCCGCGCGCCTGCTGGCCGACCTGCCGCCCGCCGCCCGCCAGCCAGGACCGCGACCTGGTGAGTGACGCTCATTGTACACGCCGCGCGCCTGCTGGCCGACCTGCCGCCCGCCGCACGCGCCGCCGCGCTCGCCGCCCCGCCGCCCGCCAGCCAGGACCGCGACCTGGTGAGTGACGCTCATTGTACACGCCGCGCGCCTGCTGGCCGACCTGCCGCCCGCCGCCCGCCGCCCGCCAGCCAGGACCGCGACCTGGTGAGTGACGCTCATTGTACACGCCGCGCGCCTGCTGGCCGACCTGCCGCCCGCCGCCCGCCGCCCGCCAGCCAGGACCGCGACCTGGTGAGTGACGCTCATTGTACACGCCGCGCGCCTGCTGGCCGACCTGCCGCCCGCCGCCCGCCAGCCAGGACCGCGACCTGGTGAGTGACGCTCATTGTACACGCCGCGCGCCTGCTGGCCGACCTGCCGCCCGCCGCCCGCCAGCCAGGACCGCGACCTGGTGAGTGACGCTCATTGTACACGCCGCGCGCCTGCTGGCCGACCTGCCGCCCGCCGCACGCGCCGCCGCGCTCGCCGCCCCGCCGCCCGCCAGCCAGGACCGCGACCTGGTGAGTGACGCTCATTGTACACGCCGCGCGCCTGCTGGCCGACCTGCCGCCCGCCGCCCGCCAGCCAGGACCGCGACCTGGTGAGTGACGCTCATTGTACACGCCGCGCGCCTGCTGGCCGACCTGCCGCCCGCCGCACGCGCCGCCGCGCTCGCCGCCCCGCCGCCCGCCAGCCAGGACCGCGACCTGGTGAGTGACGCTCATTGTACACGCCGCGCGCCTGCTGGCCGACCTGCCGCCCGCCGCCCGCCAGCCAGGACCGCGACCTGGTGAGTGACGCTCATTGTACACGCCGCGCGCCTGCTGGCCGACCTGCCGCCCGCCGCCCGCCAGCCAGGACCGCGACCTGGTGAGTGACGCTCATTGTACACGCCGCGCGCCTGCTGGCCGACCTGCCGCCCGCCGCCCGCCGCCCGCCAGCCAGGACCGCGACCTGGTGAGTGACGCTCATTGTACACGCCGCGCGCCTGCTGGCCGACCTGCCGCCCGCCGCCCGCCGCCCGCCAGCCAGGACCGCGACCTGGTGAGTGACGCTCATTGTACACGCCGCGCGCCTGCTGGCCGATCTAAAACAAAGATAAAAAAATGCACAAGTAGGCTATTTATTATATATAAAAAATAAATATGTGATAAAAAAAGTGTCTCCGTAATAACAATATAATTGCCTTCTGTTAAACACATTGAGCTATTTATTATTTATTCGGCATTTCAGGCGTTTTTTTGCTGACCGCCGACATAAGTGAAAACTCAATTATATATGCGTATACATGTACAACAGGCCGCTATAATCAAAACTTTCTGAAAAAAAAACTGGCTTGCGCCAAACTAGCGACGCGTAGTACACATGGTCGTTACGTATTACGCGCAAACGCATCAAGGTAATCGGTGACGCGAACCCATAAGTTTTTCCCCTACTAAAAATCGCTCAACGCGGCTAAAGAAATTTTCTATTCAAAAATATTTTTTTTTATTAAAACTTATATGACATTAAAATTTATTGCTTTCTATCCATAGATAGCAAATGCGGTGAAGAAAGCTGCGGCAGCAATTTCCGAGCTCAGGGTAGAGCACCACGAGGACCTGGTGGTACCATTCCGGGTGCCATAGCAGAGGAGTTCCGCATCTATGTCGGAGGATGACCGATACCACTGACTAAATACCACACAGCTATATGTGCAGGTGATATGGACAAAAAGGAGGGCAGGGGACGATCCCTCCCCTTCTGTTTTATGTGTAATCCCGATTGTTAGTAAGTTTTTGATTAAGTTTGTATACTATATTTATGTGCCTGTAATATGTAAGGTGGAGAGTGATACCTTTACATCCACCTTAGTGTCAAAGTTTTCTATGGGTTAAAAGGATATCCGGGCGGCGTTTAGTCCATACAAACGTATTCCCCTGTTTTCTCCTTGGATAGTGACACTTGAGCAAATACTTTAAATAGCAATAACCTACCACTGTCTTTTTCCTAATTTTTTTTCTTTTTTCCATAAATTTGTTTTCTACCGACTTCATACAGGAGGTACTCGATTCGACTGTATGTTTTTTTTATGCGTGTTACCTCATGACTTTTTTCTGGGTGAACCGATTTCGATGATTCTTTTTTTATTTCATTACTGGTGCTTCACATGTGGTCCAATATAAATTGATCAAGGTCTGACCAATAGTTTTTGAGTTGTTCTTAATAATTTATATTGAAGTCGGTTCTACGAAATTTTTAATTTTAAATTATTTTAACAACTAGGTACGTTCTAAAAATACCAAAAATGTTCAGATATACAGCATTTATTAGCCACCTAGCAAACAAATTTAATATACAATATATGGAACATCCAAAAGTGCACGCCTCTTGAGCGTTTCATTTAATTTCGATAAAAAAATTACCAAAATAAATCGATTACACAAAGTATAAATTCGATATATGCTGTTTAAAATGGAAATGATTAGGTAGACGTTACATTTATAAAAAAATAAAAATCATTTTATTTACAAACTACGCGTACTAGGCTATGGATATGAAATAGAGAACCAGTTGATGTACTTCTGAAACTAACAAAAAAAAACTCGGTCTCGATACGTCAATTTTTTCGGGAGTTATCGTGACACATACAAAATCTATTTTGTATTATTCAAAGTAGCAATATAAAATGATTTTTTAGAAAATTTAAGATGGATTTATTAGTGTTTTCTTGATAGACGGCTACTCATATTATCGCATAAGTGCAATAATGGTTATGATAGAGCATTGGCATTTTAAGAACACAAAATTGCTTCGTCAAGGTCAAGACTTGTCTAAAGTAAAGCACTACCTCAAATGCTTTGCGTTAGGAGGCGTGCAAAAATATCATTTTATATGGTTCTTTACAAAATCGGTCCAATTTTGGAGGAGGTTACAAAAGAGAGGGAATACGAGATAGTAATTTGATAATTTCGTAAATGTTTCGTAGGTATGTTCAATCCGACATTCAGTTGTCTCTCTTGGTTGTTTAACTCGGTCGTTCGGGCACAGCGCGACAGCAAGAGATAGTTAAGAACCTTAAAAACCTGTTCTTTAAATTTTCGGCAGCCCAGATATCCTCATAGTAAGTATTGTGTATTATTCTTGAACATAGATAAAATCAAGAAGACAAACGATATTTTTTCCATCTACCCTCTTTTTTCAATTTTATCCCAGTTGTCAGAAATTTATTTGGGTACCTAACATTGCAACAGCTGGTGAAGTTAATAGATCTTATACTATTAATAAGTGTAAAAATTGGTAGATAGAACAAATTTAAACTTTTATATTTGTCATAAATAATTTGCTGTAAGCTTGTGAAGAATGCTTATACATTAAAAAAAAAACTAGCAATGATATTAACATTACTAATATTCCCTGTAACCACTCCTGATAAGCTTAAAATGATTCTGTTAAGAGTGGTTCACGACAGTAGTCATATGGCGGATTCAAACCCGTCATGATGATACATGATACATGACGATGATCGACCCTCATTCATACACAATCCTGACGAACCTGAGTGAATATTAAGATAATGGATTTTAGCATACACGTACAAATAATCTAACTGGAAGAGGCATGCGAGTTGAAAAACTTTGTCAAACTATTTGATGTGACCATCCTATGCAAGACATCATTCAACACATTACATGTTGGCCCCTCCAACATGTAATGTGTTGAATGATGTCAAACCTTGTGTTAAGGCATAATAATTACTTTTTTTTTTCTCTTTACTTTTATTACAAAGAACAATGGCAGACTTTCATACATAAAATTAGTTCAGAAGAAATGGTAGCGTCTATATAACAAAAATACCTTAAAATGTTAAGTGTCAGTCCCTTAATAACTCTGTCAAAGAATTTTGTCCTGAGAAGGCGTCAAAAAAAAAGATATTTACATTTGAACCTTTTTAGGTTATGTCCTATGTCACTTGGAAAAAGTCATGCTTCCTGTGGTTGTTTGATGTTAGCTTAATACAAAATACATAATTGAGAGTTTTTAGATTATTGTATCTCTATTATATATTTGCATAATATAAATGTATATTTCTGGCATGGCTCCAGGGCTTTTGTATCATAGTGACATTCTCAGAAGGGCTAGAACCCAAAGCCGTAAAACCAGTAAAAAAACAGTGACATTTTATTTTAGCTAATGTTGGCATAACATTAAATGGAATAGTTACATAGTACTATGATTGAGATAATGTATTATTGTAGGAAATTCTTTGTAAGAGACTTATTCTTAGCCATATCACTTTTATTTTTATTATTACTGATAGTACAGTTATTACTAATAGTAACTTATAAAAAAATATTTTGTGTGTTGTGTTGGTAGTCTTACAAAGTATATACGAAAATAGTATGAATATACTAAATGGCAACATTTGAATAGAGTAAAATGATTTAAGTCATTTGATATTCCTAAAAATGTTTTTTTTTCTGTGACTTTAATTAAAATACATTTTCATTTGAAAACTCATTTTATATATAACTTATTTCTAAACGCTATAATTTTTGTCAACTATTTTTCTGCCATTGCTCTTTAAGGTAAAAATAAATATAATAACAGTCTACAAGTGTAATGAGCATACTAGCGCGTTGATTGCGCCTAAACAAGTATTATTTTTTAGGAACTTAGCGGGCATTTTTTCTTAAAAACAACATTATAGGAGAGAAAAAATAAAAACACTTTAAGATTGCCATAAATTCAACTGGCTTTTTGAGGGGTGTCATTAATTAATGACAATTATTAGAATAACGAGAAATTAAGGCGGGTTCCAAGAACCAGATTACTTTAAATAAATAAAGAAGTTTTATTGGCTGCCGCAGGACGGACAAAGGAGACCTTTGTCTTATAATGGGGCATTTTAGAATATAGCCCGGCCTTTTACACCTGAGCTGTCGGGTGATAAATCTTTTCTATCCTTATGTCTCCCTCACACTCGTTACGCTTACGGAGCGCCATAGTGAAGTGCGTAATAGTAGATATCGATTAATTGTAACGTTGTGATTTTTAACTAGTAAAAGGGTAGGCTTTGCCTGTACCTATAGAAATCCATTAAACAATTAAATTAATTTTATACCTAAAATAAGGTTTATTTGATAAAGATTAAAATAAATGATGGTCCTTCACTGCTGGCCGTATGAGGAAGCTCAAGGTTGCTCAGCGAGCTATGGAGAGGGCTATGCTCGGAGTTTCTCTGCGTGATAAACTTAGGAATGAGGATATCCGCAGTAGAACCAGAGTAACCGACATAGCCCAACGGATTAGTAAGCTGAAGTGGCAGTGGGCCGGCCATATAGCTCGAAGAACCGACAACCGATGGGGAAGAAAGGTTCTCGAGTGGCAGCCTCGTACCGGTAGGCGAAGTGTAGGGCGTCCCCCCACGAGATGGAGTGACGACCTGGTAAGACATGCAGGAAGTCGATGGATGCAGGTGGCTCAGGACCGTGCTTTGTGGCATTCTTTGGGGGAGGCCTATGTTCAGCAGTGGACTTGTGAAGGGCTGTAATGATGATGATGATGAAAATAAATGAAATGAAATTGATATAAATATTCTCCTTCAACTACTGCTCATCTTTTTCTTTAGGCTATCAACAGTAATGTGTGCGTAATAAGGGTTTCTATGACACATAGATCGCGCATAAGCTGGTGGTAAATTATTGATATTTCGCAAGTTGTAGGCACATTTCGGCCTGACGGCTCAGATGATAACAGGTGGACTATAGTAAAAATGCGAATAATGGAAATAAAAAGAAGGGACAAACAAAACTCCATTATGCTTAGCTGAAATCTTGATTGTCGTTTTTCCGTGAATTTGCTGGAATTGTTTTATTTACCTTTCTTTTTTCACATTACATTTAAATCTATAGAAATTGTATTCACAAAAAATATGTATCTACTAACCTTTAACTGCATAATCGTAAAAATATTTAACTTTGTGATGGTAACCAAAAAAGGTGCGATCAATACCTACCTACTTAAAATTTATTGTTCTGAAATTTTAACGTAATTCATAACTTAATAAAAATGATTTCGACTCTGAGTCCACAGTGCTTGGTATCATATCAAACAGCTTCTATTAAAATAGTACTAGTGATGTGTTGTAGTGTTCAAAGTATTTGTCGATAATGTAAAAAAAGAATTTGATGTGTTATGTCATATTAAGCCAAGTAATTTAACAAGTATAATTCTTATTTATCATTTAACTATAGAATATCAAACTGTATGGACTACCCAAAAATAAAACAAATTGAAGATTTTGTTTTGGCTATAGTGTCATCAAAAAATATTTGGTATATATCTCGTTTTGTTCATTTGCTTTACAAAATATCTGAATCAGTATATATGTAAAATAAAGAAGACAAATATTTTAAGTACTGTAACAGAGAAACGATGATCGGAGGCGAGGTGTGTAACTTCTATTATCTTCCAATACAATTCGAAAGTAATTGTAATGTGTTAAGATTAAAAATTGTGTATATATTTCTTAGTCTTATAGGATGTTACGCCATGAATTTAATTGGCGAAAATGTCAGTGTAACTCTATATATATATATAAAAGAAAACGACTGAATAAAAGTTTTTATATTATTGTATATAAATA